AATTGTTGGATCTAAACGTCAATTCATGACGTTAAACCAAAGAGAATAGATTTGTTAGTGTTGTTATGGATCTGATAACTCGAATTAATATCGAGTTGAAATTTAACTAGTTCGAGTTAAGCAAACGCAACTCGATTAATAGAAAGTAATCTTTGAATAAATTTATTTTTAGTATGAGATGGAAACTAACATAATGGAAGTGAGCACAGAGGTTTTTTAAATTTATAGAAATCAATTGAATGCTGTGATATAATTTAAAGTGGCATCTAACTACGGTATACAATAATATTACCGCCAAATAGTTTTATAAATAAAATAGGTACCTTTGTCATTGTAGGTCTAGGAATTTTTCATTTTAATATTTAACAAAAGTTCTGAAAAAATAACAACTAGGTAAGTTAGTTTTATTGCTATTAGTTGTTTGTTGAACTTACAACAACAAAACTACATCAAGTTTCAATAATATTTTTATATTATGTATGGTGAATGGATGAATAGGGTATATTAATCAAAAACAAAAGTCATAAAAACGATAATTATTATAAAAAAATCCGTTTGTTATCTATAAACTTACCCGATATGTATCAAATATACTATGTATTCGCACAAAATAACATAACTGCTGGCTAAAATGACATTTGTGCAAAGTGTAACGTGCAAATAACTTGTGCTTTCGAAATTAAGACATTATAAAACTATTATCAGTTATTAAATCTTATATTCATAATTAAATTATCTTAATAAACAATCAGCAATCAACAAGAAACGTCTGCTCTAAACGAACAGCAAGGTTATAACTTTAAATTTCAAATCACAAAGTTATTATACTATTGCTACTGATCTTACATGTCGACGGCGGACGTCGAGCCATGTGTTAAGTTAATTCGTACGGTGGGTTTGTGCTTTTTGGTTCTTACAATAATATTGTTAATAATAGTTTGACTTCCTATACAACCTACACTAGAAATCCGTTTTATTGAAATATATTATTTACTAAATACCTAGAGTAGTTATGGTCTCTTAAAATCTCTGCGGTGGTATCGTGTGCGTTAGGTGGTTACGTTCCCTCAAATAAAGTATAGTTGAGTTGTTTAGTTGAAATTAAAAAAGTAGCCCTTGCTGAGTTTCTTGCCGTTTCTTGTCAGTACGAGATCTCCCGCCTTAGTTTTGCGAACCATTGGTAAAGTTTTCGACTTTCACAAGTACTACGTAACAGCCTAGACTGAATTTATTTTGATATTTATGTTAATATTATTCGTTTTGTGGATGCATAATGACACTTCATCTTCATCATCATTTTTGTTCTCCATTCCAAACCTGATTTCAACGAAAGTTACGAGCAACCAATAAGTGGGCTCATCACTAATGTTGACGTATCAACCAAACATCGTTCCTTTACACGTAACATAATAAACAACTTATACTTACAATTAAAATAAATTCAAATTAGTTTGAAAGTGAGATATTATAAGAAACACAAAACGATGTCATATTTATTATTCGAAAATACTCAATTTACATTTATTACGTCAGAAATAAAATTTGAATGAGTATCATAAACAAAATCCAAAAATCGCGAGTGACTTACTTACTTACTTAAATACTTCCTCATTAATTAAAAAAATTAGTTCCTGAAATCAAACTAGATGTCGCTACGGTATGTTCTTGATTTCTCCATGATAACCTTTCCTATTTTCTTTATGGATAAAAGGAAATAAGTTTTCAAAACTCAATAAACAACTCATTGAACTTTTTCGTATTTTTATTGATATCTAAGTTTGGAACTTTGCAAATTCCAGTTTTTTAATATGTTAGTTAAAAGGAACGGAAATGACTATCTCATCTAGTGGAGGTGCTTTTTTAGTGCTTTATTTATTTAATAGTTCATCATTGACATTTAGACCCTACCATTTGTGCTGCCATCTAGTGACATCAATTATTGTAGTTTTTTTTTAATGCTTCCTCATTACTACATCATGGTTGCGTTCAGAAACACCAAACTGAGAATTTTCATTTCTTTGACAGTTGATTATATAATATGCTGTTTAACGTTAAAGCTTTCAAGCTGTTACGTGCTGTTACCCTAAAAATTCCAGCAAAAAATAAATTACTGCAAAAATATCCTCAAAACATTTATACCCTAGAAATTACCCTGTACGATCAATTTTATCTAGGGTAAATTACTCTTAGTTGGCATCACTGCGTGTATAAGTTTGGCACAAGTAGATAGCAAATTCAGTTTCATCAGAACCAGGTTTTTCATAAGTATACATATAGAGGTAAATCACCAAGTTTTTCAACATAAACATATTGTAGAAAACATCTGGAGAAATAATTAATTAGTGGTATGAGCCATCAAAGGTACAAACATTGACATGATTACAGCTTAAATTCTTCTAATTAGAACCACATAACATATTAAGCTCTTCTACAATATGATTTTTTTTTACCAAAATCTGTTTATTTTTATATTAATTAACAAGAGAAAATGTGTAGTTAACAAATATTTATATTTCACAATATCACATAAATAAATAAAACCATATCACATAAATAAATAACTGACGGAAAATGGTCGATAGACAAATTTGACAAATTAGCTAGGGATAGTAAGTTTAACAGCTCTACTGACGGATTGATTTTTTTATTAAAACACCTTTTTGCCCCATTTTCATACATTTTGCCCAGAAACGGTTATCAGTATCAGATCAATCCGTTAGTATCATACCGTCGGTAGCTTTACCTACCAATGCCATGTTATTGAAACGCTTTTTAGCTACTATCGGTAGGAAATACTTTGTATATTTTTTTAGATAACCGAGGGTAAGTTCTGATAACTAAAAATACTTTATAAGTACACAAGTCAAAAAGAATTGAAATACTTTTAATTTCTCGATCAAGAACGCAAAAAATTACAAATTTACGCAATAATACAGTCGAAATCAGATCTCAAATAAACAATAAGTATTATTTGTTGCCTGAGGATAGGACACTTGTATGTTCCCTAGCTTAATGAGGGCCACTATAGGCGCTAGTGTAGAGTGAGGTACAGAAAATCTATTTAGATACTTTGTCAGTGTATTACGCGCGTTTCTATACAAATAAAAGGATTTTGTGCTTATATTTTAGAGTATCTAAAATTCATAAAAGCAACTATGAATAGGATATTTGACACTATCGAAAATAAGTTGCATTTTGTGTTCATCTGATAGATAATAATCTAATTAAGCTTATTTCTTAACATCTGCAGAAAAAACATGTTTAGATTTAGTAAAATAACGTAAAGAAAATGCAATATTTTTAGGAATTTATTCAACGACGAAAACGTCCTATAATTGGTCGGCGTCACAACCAATCACGATTCTGTTTACTGGCCTGTGACGTCATCAGCTGTCATGTCAAAGTAGTGTTAGAAAGATACATAAAATATCGACGCCTGTAGGTATCGAGTACTTTATAGTAATTTACTGATAACATAATACTTTGCCGCTTCTACTGATAAGAACTGCCAAAAAGAAATACAGAAAGAAAGAATCATTTACTAAGCTTTTTAAAAAATCCAAGAAATAGGGTAAATGCCAGCAATTAAAAAATAGCAACTTACAGGTTTTTCTCATTTCTTGAACTTTAATATAATAATACAAAATTACAAAGTCGATTTTGATGATATATACTGTTCTCTAAGTTAAAAACTAATTTTAAAAAATCATCGGGATCTAATATCTAATTATCAAATGCCATGCATTTAGTGGACAGACATACTACATGCATGTATAAAAAAAATAGAACATTCTTTATCGTACTAATGTCTCATCCATCTGTAGGTCGACAGGCTGTAAAGTGCGAGCCCTGTCAATAAATATAAATAAGTCGTAAAATGTTTATAACAAAGAAAAAAAGAAAACCTTCAAATGTATAGATATAAAATAAAAAAGTTTCAATACTTTTAGCGAATCCTTACCTAATTTTATCACCCATCTCTACTCTATATAGCTACTGTACTATTGTGACTGTGAATCTATTTTCTTCTAGACTCGAAGTTTGTTTGTTATTTATAGAAGTATTAGTACATTGTTGCACTACGCCGCTTGTAGCTCATTTTTTAAAGAAAACCAGAGCAGAGGAAAATAAAAAACGTAAAAATATGCACTTAAACTTCAATTTCTCTTCTAAATTATTATTTCAATTTACTCTAAAAACAGTTGTTACTTATCGATTTGACATATTATTGACCTGTGACGTCACGATGAGCGCCATTACATAGAGCAGCGTTTTTCGCGCGCTTTTGGCTATTTAAATTTTAACAATTATTTTCACCAAAAATAGAAAAGATTGGTGAAATATTATGACAGTGTGTTTATAATGTAGCAAACAACGATTTAAAATAGTTTTCAGAAAAGTGTCAAATACTCTATTACGGGTCAACGAATGTCAGTGCTTTAAAAATAGAGCTAAGAAAAAAAAAGGTGCTTATATGCGTGATGAAAGAACATTCGATGTTCTTATAAAATACTTTATTTTTGTATTATGATGCACGATTTAAATTCAATCTTGTAGTTATACTATGCTATATATACAAATTTTTAAAGGACTTGTCACGACTGTCGTGCCATCTGGTGAGCTACATAACGGTAGACTCATTAATGAAGATCTTCTCTTTGCATGTAAAGGCCACTAAAAGTGTAAAACGTAAAGGGTTACATACAGTGATACACAGTTACCAAGTCTGTGACAGTTACAAATACAACATACCTACTAAGTCTGTGATACAACATAAAAACAGAAAAGAGTGATTAGTCGGACGAGATTAAGCAACATACAAGAAACAGAGTCCATACATTATGAAATAAATTGAGCGAAACACTGGATTCTTAAATCTAAATCTAAATGCACAAGGGCAACGAAAATAATTAAAAAGAAAAATACCAAGACTCATTGTTTTTAAATAATTGAATTCGAGATCGCATAACATAGTGTACTTAGGTAGAATAATAGAAAATATGAATTCAAATAAAAAAGGACCAGTTTTCGAAGGAGGAACGTGCAGATGTTGCGGTATAACTAAAAAGTGTCGGCTACTAAACGCTGAGTACGAGTTTTGCGGTCAAAAAGAAGTATATTTTGAAATGTTTGTTGATTGCTTTGGTTTAGTGGTTAGTGAAGTTTGTATTTTTATTAAAATTTGAGAAAGATGATGCTAATTTATATAAATTACATTTATATTATATTAATATGAATATTGTTGCTGTTCTCTGCTGTTAACTGTAGGGATTTTTCTGATTAATCAAATGGACTATTCCTTTGAGTTAACATGGCACCAGATTTGGAACTTGATACCTCTCAACGTGATAGCCCACCGTCGCCTTTTAATGGTGACAGCATAACTGTTAGTGTTTTATATGTTTTTTCACTATTTCATTTTCAACAGAATTATATTTGATCAGTATTAATTAATAAAAATTCTCTCGCTTGCTGAACATAAGAGGTCCTATGTTTGATGGCAATGTATAAATAATTATGAGTAAATTTTTTCTCTCAACTATTACTATAATTTTTCTTCTATTGCAGACATATCACTTTCATTATCATCTTTCCTTAACAAAATCCCAATAACAATACCAGCAAGAGAATTTTTATTAATTAATACTGATCAAATATAATTCTGTTGAAAATGAAATAGTGAAAAAACATATAAAACACTAACAGTTATGCTGTCACCATTAAAAGGATTATGAAGTTTGTTAAAATGATTATGAAGTTGGTTAAAAATATGTTAACAAAGTAAAGAAAAAAACCTTAAAACTCCTATAAATAGATAATTCTGCATAAATAAATATAAAAACATAATATTACATAAAACTATTAAATTTCAGAAAATATATAATATGTAATTTGCCTTACATAAAGTGTTGCGTTTTTAAGTAGATATTTTCTGAACATTCATTATCATAATTCACTTATTGTACTAATTAGCAGATGCACTTACCACACAACCACAGCCTGCGCAAGCACACTTTCGCCTGCAACTTTTTTGCATGTAGTAGTACATCGTAGAAACTTATTTCTAGCCTGGGGTCATGTTAACTCGAATAAGTAGCAGCTGTTATGTCTCTATCTCATATTACCACATTTTAGCATCATTTAGTATTTGAAAATATATTAATCCGGTTGTAGCCTAATATTTATGATATTTTAAAGAAATTTCTTTAAAGCTTGTTCTTTTTCTTATAACCTTATTTTATTTTGATGCTACTATTTAGCCAAAAATGCTCTGTCTTATTATAAAATAAGGAATACCAGGTTTAAAACATTATTCGAATAAATGAAATCAGCATGTCAAACAACTGATATATTAATATCAACAGTATATTTTAGCATAAGGTAGATAGTACAATGGCAAAGTGCAAGTAGTTAAGATTCTATTGATATGGGAATATGTAAACATTAGCAGAATTCATCCACTGAATCAGAAACCATTAATAGAAACTTCATATATTTTATTGGATGTTAATGAATGATCTGATATCAATTTCCTAAAATGGTCCTCATGGACCTCTAGTTTTCACTCAGTGGTATAATTCTAATTTATTTGACTTGAATACTTGTTCATTATAATTAATACATACAACAATTTACATCTAACAGTTATATTTGTCTGACGATTAGACAGTCTGACTTGACATTATTAACCGCAACAGTATTCTCTAGGAAGTTAATCCAGCTGTCGGTCACTTTTTTTATGGTAATAATCAAGTTTATTGTGAATCTCAGTCAAACTGACTTTAATTATTGTAGCTGTCACATTTGGAGGGTGAAGAAATGGATAGACTTATATGCGCCACATGTGTAATGAGGCTTCGTGACGCTTCTGCGTTTAGACAACAGGTACTGCAATGTGAAGAGAAATTACTGAAAATTCAGATGCAAGTTGATGGTAAGTATTATTGATTTTTTGGCTGTCTTAGTCATAAAGGCAATAGATATATACGCTCACAGGCACAATTAATCGCCCATCTGTATCATTCATCACTCTGTTTGGTTCCATCAACTATGGCTTATCACCTGTTTTGTTTTTTTGTTAAGTGGGTACTCTAGCAATAAATAAAACACCTATACCCTTATTTTCTTCCCTAAATTTGTGTAACCGAACATTTCCTGTTATTTTCTATTATAGTGTGCGCATCACTCGTCGACGTCACAACCAGCGTCGCATCACTCGCACACTGTGTATCTCAGACGATTTCAGGAGACAGGCTTATACACCCGCAGGCCAAGTCAAGGCTGACATCGATGCACTTTGACTCGAGATGACCGTTTCGTTGTCACTAATGTGTTGAGAAATCGCTATTCGACCACTACCGAAGCTTGTACGCGTCTTTTTGAAGTGAGAAATGTCAGTGTCAGTGAACGTACCATTGTTTTGCGCGAGAATATGCTGACTGGACTGTAGAGGAATAGAAATACGTCCTGTTCCAGATTCTCAGAGAGCAGAATAGCCTTAAGAGGTGGACGTCAGCGTGTCTACAGGCCTCAAAATGAGAGGTTTGCTCCATGAGCTATTACTGAAATGGTAGGTTACCAGGGGGATTCACAATGGTATGGGGAAGTATCTCTTATGTGGGTTGTACCGATCTTGTTGTGTTCGATAGAAATTCTTCAAGACTATGTCATGCCTTTCGCTCCGTTCATGTCCGTGGTGACACATTCAGTTTAATGCATGACGCACGTTGCCATACCGCAAGATCTGTCAGTGAGTACCTAAATTCAATCGGGATTCAAATTTTACCATTGCCCATACGCAGTCCCAATCTTACCCAATAGAGCACATTTGGGACACCTTAAAAGACGTGTCTGAGCTAGCGTACTAGCCTCTTCAACTATAGGATACTTCAATCGGATACTCAAGACATCATGGATTGATTGACAAACCAACTTCAAGAAGTCATAAAGGCTAGTGGTGGCAATATCCACTATTAATTTCTATTTTTTCTTTTAATTGCCCCAATATTTTCAAAACCACAATTTTAAAATTTTCATTGTATATTTTCAAAAATTCGATTTTTGGTAAGCATCCTTTAATAAAATTTTTGCCAATATTTTTGTTGTTGCTTTTTCTTTAAGTTTAGTTTTTAATATACCTTTCAAAAAATATGGTCTAAGTTTGGCGATTTCTGCGAATTTGAATAAGTAGAAGATGGGCAATCAGTTGTGCCTGTGAGTGTATATTTAAATGCTAAAAAGAAAACAAGTTTTGCTATTTTACAAAATAGCTGACTAATATATACAGTTATTTAGGACTTGACCAGAGCCATATGTAACTAAATTATACTCGTATAACTGGCCAATAAATTTTGCATATAAGAATAGCTGCTAAAGTCTGCCCCGCCCCTCTATAGCTAAGTGTAAAACCGGTGACTTAAACAAAGTACAATTGTATCTGCATATGGAATAATAGCAGTAGTCCCGCAAGGATCTTTACTTGGTCCATTTTTACTTTATTGATATAGTTTAAACACATTACAGATGACAGTAATAAGCAAACGAAAGATTCAGAGTTTGATATGAAAGTGGAAATTGAAGAATGCAATTCTCCAGTGGGATTGGACAACGACTACGAGCAAGCTGATAATGGTGATTATTAAAAAAGTTTAGATTGTAAAAGTTGATTTTCTACATTATCCGGTCCTTGATTACTGGAACTTTACCTGGACTGGAGCATCAGAAATGTTGATACGGAGGTTGTATGTAATTGAAGTAGAGAAAGTAATAGGAGAATATATAAAAAAAAATTACCTATTATTTATCTTATAAAGAATGAGGAATTTTGAAGAAAGAAATTTATCTTTATTTATCAAATTTTGAAACCATCCGTTAAAAAGTTTCCATATTTTGTTTTAACAAATTAAATGATGTCTATGTTTTGTCATATTGTTGAATTTTGTCTTATTCTAGCGTAATTTTATCATAAGTATATACAAATAAGAAATGACATAGTGGCTATTTTGGGCCATCTTTTTAACAAAATACTTTTAATAAATTAGAAGATAATATTTGAGCTTAATAACAAATATTTCCCATAGATAAATATTTTGCTACTTATCCCGTTGATCTTTATGTGTGGTGTAACTATTTATGTGTATAATATTTAACGGTAAGTAATTTCATTTTTTTCTTTAATTTATTAAAAAAATATTTAGCTAGCATTTAGATAAGATAAGATGAGGCATTGTTCCGTAGTGTCTGACCAATTAATGAGGAAGTATCTAAAAAAATAATAATAAAATATGATGTCGGTATTACGTTCCGAAAAGTATAACTTTTGTTCTTTTACATGTAACATAATTGGACTATTTGGATCTTGCGGTTGAATAAACAGAAATTTCTATTATATAAACTACTCACGACATCTGTTTTCATTTTAGGAACCACTTTTTCGATACTTCTTCACTGTGTGATAACTTTATAGTATTAAACCAACTAGCAACCGGCACTTTTAACACAAAACAGCCATCTAAAAAACTAAAATGTTAACACTAAAGCATTTTCGCAACATGCCGCTATGAGCGCACACCTCAAAATTGTAACACATTTACATAAATTACACGCACACTATCATATTCACACAATGTAACTTTAGACGTTTCACGTCGGTACACTATAAAATGGCGCGTGAATAGTGTGAGGGACTTATCGATATCGATCAATTTATAGATATGTAACTTCTTTATTTCTATTAGTTTTGTTTTGCATTCTGTAGTTGCACATATATTCGTATATGAAAGAATGTCAAATTTGTATAGATAATGTCGCTTTAAACTAACGAAAATTTAATGAACGTTTCTGCATCTAGCTGTATGTCTTTCAACGCGAATGTATGGTTACGAGTAGTGATAGAAAGGACTCGAGTCTTTTAGGCTTTTTTTAGACTTGCAGCCTTATTGACAGGGCTAGAAGGTTAAATAGGTTTTAAGCCCTCGAGGTTTATTAAAAAAAGGCTTTTGGCTAATGATAAAAAGACTCAAGCCTTTTTTTAGTTTAGTTTCCTTTTTAGCCTCACAGTCTTTATTGACAGGGCTAAAAGGCTAAATAGGCTTTAAGCCCCCGCGGTATATTAAAAAAAGGCTTTTGGCTCCTTCCTTCTCCTCTTTGGGGTTGGTTATAAGATATAAAATAATGTAGTGAATGATACAGGAACGAAAAAAATAAGTTTTATATTTATTATCTAACGATAAAAAAATATTCACATTTAGACACTCAATATCAAAAACCAGTTTATAATTCAAAATAATCCGATGTTGCGTATTCTACCTATAGCTATTAATAAAACACCAGTAAAATCCATAATTTTACATTTTAGGAATAGAACTACAAAAATAATTAATTAATATCTTATTATTTCATATTTTTATAATAATAATTCTTTATTCATGCCAAAAATAAAATAACAATTGTAAAGTTGGTATGCAGAGGTGGGTCTTTGGTTAGTTTAGGGTGTTCCACCCCAAGCAGTAATGCAGTAAGTGAAAACGCTTTGACATAAGGCATAATATGTAGTTTTGAGAATGGAGTATGAAGCAATATAGCAAAGTTTTCTAAATATATATATATATATATATATATATTAATTTGCGAACTCTGCTAGTATCAGCATTAATGTGAAGTTTAAAGTTTAAGTTTTGATCAATATAGACACCAAGGTATTTAGTGACTGGTATAGATTGGATATGTGGGCAGGAACAATTATAGGGATTTTGAGATGAGTAAGAGTGAGCTATTAATGTTGGTGTTGTTTTGGATTGGGTGTCGCTTCTGATGGAAAAGTAATAAAGTTGGTTTTTGATGCGTTCGAGGTGAGAGCATTGCTTACTAATGAATTTATAACTTTGACTCCATTTTGGGCAAAGCTAAATGTATCGGACCAGTTTTCAGCAGCGAACGTGAGTACGGTATCATCCGCAAAAGAGGTTACTTTACCATTTTGTATCCAGATCTTTTTATTGAGGGTATTCCGGTGGAAACTCTTGTTGGTTTAATACTCTAACAGTGTAATCAATAAACAAGATTTAGCGTTGGAGTATATTTACTCTGAGATTGCACTTAGTATTAGTCAAAATTCATATTACTGAACAGAGACTTAGCAAAGGTTAACCTAGTACAAGGTTCTAAGGGAATAATAATTACTCCTAGTTTGCTTATTCTCTGTATAATCTGAATTTGGACTAACATTAGAATTGAAATTTTAGAGTAAATTTACACTGACGATAGATCCTTGTTTATTAATAGCACTGTAAAATAACAACCTCCGTTGTAATTCTAACCTTTAAAGCCTCCGAAGATTCTTTATTCCTGGTCAGTGTAATGTAGAAAATCAAACTTCCATGTCGTTTATGTTTGAATTAAGCCAGGCTGTTATTGAAAGCGGAATTTGTGAATGTGCCAGCATAGTTTTTTCCTTAAAAATGCTGCAAATTTGTATAAGTTATATACTACGTAAATTAACATGACACTTGAAGGCCTTATACTATTATTCCGAAAATGAAATTTCATCTATTTTCGAAATGCTAATATGACTTCGAAGATTTTTTTTTTTAATTTTCGATGCAACGGAGATACGCCTTGACACTGCCTCTGATGCAAAGATAATATGATTTTAACAAAATTATAAGAACGCTTGGAAATTTTCCGAATTTTCATTAGAGGAAATTCAATGGAATAGGCCCGCAATACGGTGTAGCATGATGAATTCGAGAACGTTTTGTCTACACCCAAATGTCACTTTTGTCATTCTCATCATCTCACACTCGACCCGAGAAAAGTGATATTTGGTAGACAAGGCGTTATTCGAGTTTGCCATGCTACTCGTACTGGTGTCATGTTTATTCGTAAGAGTTACATGTAATATTGTTATAGGACTAACATTAAAATTCTTGGACTGATCCCAAAAAGATGCTCTCGTGGGCACGAGACACGAGCACTCTTATAGTTAAAGAAATCCACTATTCTTTAAAAAAAAATAGAACTATAATTTTATAAGAATCATATAAGACTATCTCTGATGAGTGCTTGGATATATTTCATCTCAAATTTTTATCCACCATTTTCATTTTAGCAAAGACTTACAAGGTTGTTGAAACTATAGCAAATGGTGAGAAGGTACTGACCAGTGTACCAGGCTCCTGGGAGAGAGATGGTAAACTGAAATGGCCCAGAAAGAATAAAGCCGAGAAATTTAGAAACCACGATAAACCAGATGATGATTGGGACACCACAAATTGTATAGTAAAGAGGAGAAGATTGGCAACTTACAAGGATGCTGAAAATGTCATAAAAAGTATATGTGAAAGTGGGGAATCATTAAGCAGTGTTGTAATGACACAGGTCGAGTCAAACAAAAAGCATCTTCACGGTAATTCGCAAGTGAGTTTTCTTAATTATTGTATTCTAACTCAAAATATGCGTAGTTTTGCTATCGTTAGGGCAAAGACCTTAAAAAGTTTATAGTTCAACAGCTTATTCCATTCATTAAGTTCTTTTGGTTGCCTCTGATTTTTTTAAAATACTAAAGTTTTTATTAGGCGAAATAAAATACAAAAAGAATTAATTCGCTAACTAAGATCATTATATGAAATCAAATAGTAAATAGTTAATAAACTTGGTAATTCTTACCAAATTAATTTTGTTTCAGAAAATAGATCCACAAAAAGTAACAGCAACTCACACAATAACTTCTAAGAAAACAACATCGTCAGCATTAAAAGGGGCTATTTCAAAAACTCCCAATAGAACTACACCATTAAATGCTACCAATACCCAAATGCCAGTGATTGCTAATGTTATGGACGCAAATAGTATCACAAACGCAGAAGCTCTAAATGAGAGAACTTATAATTCTACAGAACAAATAAATAATACATGTATAAAGCAACTTTTAAGCAAAATCTTACGATTAGAAATCCAATTGAAAGATGTCTCAACTAAAATAAGATCTGTACTCGATAATCAGATTAACCTTATATATAATCAGGATAATGTGTCATTACAAGTCGAACAACTGAGCGATACATTTAAAGAATTTTTCACCCGCGCTTCTACTGAAGGCAATGTTGACGATCAAGTTGACTTCTTGCCAGTAGAGAGTGAAGAAGATTTAGAAAAACTGGAGAACAAACTAAAGGAGCCTGAATTCAAAATGGAGTTGATGAAAAAATTCTCTATTACTTTCGGAAAAGAAAACGGGAACGGTGCAAATGTTGCCTACCGACTTATTGATATGTTTTTTGATAGACATTTCCTAACGTTGTGCTCGTGGTCTGGTGGATCACGGCATTATGACAGAAAAATATGTTTTAGAGCTCATAGCCAAGTGATACAGTTCTTTTTCAAAATAGTACATGCATCAGATGAAGAGTACACGTTAGACGCATGTGAAAACTTTTTAAAGGGTATTTTGAGGACATCAGTCAAAAGATCCATGAACAGAAACATGCGGAAGTCAACGTGTAAAAAAAGACTAAAACGTGGAAAAAGGAAACTCATAGACAGAGCAAACATCAACGAAAGAGCAATAGAGAAAGTTGTAGATGAACATAATGATATCATAGATAGAGCGATAGAGAAAGTTGAAGATGAACGTAATGATATCATAGATAGAGGCATAGAGGAAGTCTTAGATGAACACAATGATCTATAAGTTTTGATTAAAACAATGTTAATGGCGGAGTATTTAAAACTGAACAAACATATATTTCTTTTGATATTAATAAAAATTAAACTATGTCATTAACATATATTTTTGTTTTACCTAAAAAAAATGTTATCCAGGATACGAACGTTCTTCAAAGCCAGCCACGATCGCTCTTGAAAATCCGAGACAAATATGTTCTTATAGATAAAAAGAAATGAACGTTCTTGCATATACAAGACACGGACGTTCTTTAAAAATTTAGGACAAGAACGTTGTTGCAAATTTGACCTCTGTTTTGGTCACAGTTCTAAGTTTATCTAATCTTACCGATTGACCAGTTCTCTCTTATTGCTCATTTTTTATTTTTCTTTTGGTTGCAGTTCTTACCTAACCTTACCGATGTACCAGGTATTTCTTAATGTTCTCTCTTTATGGCTCGCCTGACACGCATATATTTTGGTCACAGTTCTAATCTAACCGATTGACCAAGTCTCTCAATAGCTCGCTTCGCTGCATTTCGTTATAGTCACAGTTCTAGCTTAAACGATAGACCGGGTTACTTTTTATGGCTTGCTTCGCTCGCCCTATGTTTTGGTCACTGTTTTAACCTAACGTTACCGATTGACCAATTCTCTCTTAATGGGCTCATTTTATGGTTCGTTTCGCTGGCATTTCGTTTTGGTCACAGTTCTAACCTAATGTTTACTGTTTATGGCTCGTTTTGCTCACTTTTTGTTTCAGTTACAGTTCTTACTTAAGCGATCGTTTAGTTCACTCGTAATGGTTTCTTTTTGCTCGCTTATAGTTTCAGTTACAGTTCTGACCCATTCCAGTTGATTGACCAGATTTCTCTATATACAGAATTTTTTCTCACCACGTGAAAAAGAGGGTAAAGATACTCAAGCGGTCCATACATGCTGTAAAGCTCCAGAGTTACCGTAGGTCAAAATCAATCAAGTAAAGTTTAAATGGATATCTCAAATTTCTCAAATTGTTCCATTAAGTATCTCAAAAGTAAAAAAAAAAAATACTTTTGAGATACTCAATGGAACAATTAGATTTAGCATTAAAGGTTTTTTTTATAATACGAATCCTTTAAAAAATTTGCACTATTTTCTTCACCTGGCAATACTTCAATTGTGGTTTTTAAAATTATTCCTTCCAAAAAAACTCACAAAAATGTTACCGAGTGCGTTAAAATCAGCTCTACATGGTGAAAGTCGTGAAAAATTAACATTTTCCATATAAAATGGCCACTTTCTTAGCCACCATTTTGAAACTAGAAAATTTTACAATGTAGCTCACTTAGCAGCGTATCTGATGCAGTTTTTATTATTTTTCTGTTGGCAATAGTGGCTGCACTAGAGTCAACATATAAAATGGGTGAAATTTTTCGATAGCTACGGGGATCCGTAGCTATTAGGAATTCCAAAACGGCTCCTACTTTTCACCATTTTGGGGTAAATCTCAAAAATTACTCTAAAATCGAAGAAAATTTACCTCATATAAAAGAACCAGTGGGGACCCACGAACGGTCCTACGAGGCGAAAAGCTTCAATGTTAAACTTTTCAAAAAAAAAAATAATTAAAAAGTGAAGTCACAAAATGGCCGTTTGATTTTCCCGAGATTCATAATTTTCTCATAGTCACGACTTAATTCGGCGCAGGACCTCATTCACAGATTTTCTCAACTGGCCACTCAGGTTCTCAAACAATTGGATTAAGAATTGGTTTTCTGTGAAAAGTGCGTATTTCTATATTTTACTTTTCTCCCAAAATCACAAAAACTACTTAAAGAAAATTAGTAATAAAGTAGAAAGCCTCACGACCGCCCTATACAACGCGAACCCGTCCGTCGCCGCTATCTTGGAGAAAATTTCACTCGAAAATGACGATATTTCATTGCCGCAACACACTTGCCGTCACCGCTGCCGCCGTATTGACAAGCAAGCGGAAACTCTCCGTACGTGAAAATTGACTATACTTTCGAGGTGCTAACGCAAAAATAAAAAAAAAGGTAAAATATTTCGGCCCCATATTGTTTTTTTAATCAAACCTTTTTTTTAGTCACATGTTTGTCGTATTTAAATTTTAAAAATCATTTAGCCGCCTTATTTGTATTAGAACATGAAAACATATTTTCCTACTCTTTCTACCCGAAAAAAGCATGGAGTGAGTGAGTGGTAATTCAGGTTTTTATAATAATCTATATAAAATACTAGCTTTCCGCCAGCAGTTTCGCCGCGTAATTCAGTATTTTACATAAAAACCTTGCTTTTGAATTACTTACTATCTATTAAACTGCATCATAATCCATTGCGTAGTTTTAAAGATCTAGGCATATGGACAGACAGAGAAAAGCGTCTTTGTTTTATACTATGTATTGATTGTTATTTTCCTTGCTAGAGAGCTGCTTTTAATGACACAAACATATCCTATAATTGTGTGCAGATGGAAGGAACTGAAAAGAAATGGGAAGCAAAACCTATACACGCAAATAAAATAATGCAAAACCTTATATTTACTTATCATTTCAGATGAACTGCAAGAAGTCAAAGTGAATATAAAAAAGGAAGAAAAGACCAAAGAAAGGAGGCCTGTTAGACGAAAAATGGTGAAGAGGAAAGCGCCAGACGAAACTACGAAAGCCAAGAAAGAGATGCTGATAAAAATGAAGAAGATGAGGGAGAAACTTGTTAAAATACAAAGGCGTGATCCCGGTGAGTATTGACGTTGTGCTTAGTCCTCCCCCTCTGCCCCCGCAAGAAAAAAGCGCGGCCGCAAGGTACAGTCACATTGGGTAACGTTGAATATTTTTACCAGTCTTTTCCCGATACCAAGTTAAAAATGTATGAAGCCCACTGTTTTTATTTCTTAATTCGTGTTCTTTTATATCTACTTTTACAATTATTAAACTCTCAAAAGAAATAAACACATCTAATATTTGAAGAATTTGTGTCAAGAGATTGTTTCTAAGTTTACAATAGTTTTGGGTATCTTATACCTTAATTATTTTGGACATTGAAAATCTCTACTATTTGCCAAATTCTCTGGCTGCTTTTTTGGATAAAAAAGGTGACATTTGTGATATTCTAGCTCGGGTGGCAATGAGACACAGGCGTACGGTTTGATCGTTTATTCCGGACTGCCCGCGCGGCGTCCTGCATACCTTAACTCTAAGAACAGCTATACTTATCATATTTCTATGTACCTACACGACATCCCTTCCCCACTAATCAACAATACATGACATGTCATCAACCCATTTGCTACATACTAAACATTTATAACTAATATTCTTATTTAACCTCCATTTTCTAATGAGACGGGTGGACTGGATCGGAACCGGTTGGGACGGCCGTGTCAGAATTGGCTGATCATTTGGACACTCTTTTAATTCCTCCAAATGTTTAAGCATCGGCACCGGCGATAACCTCGAGATATTCGTAGGCGGTGAAGATACCGAGGTCCTCGAGCCCTCCGACTGAACCTCTGATGGAGAGGTAGGCGATGAGACAAGATCTGAAGGTTCTGATGGCTGCGGCGTCTCCGTGGGAACTAAAAGCGAACTCCTTATCCTATACTTAAGCTGATCGATTTTCCCCCTTGAGATACTGTCAGTACCACACGTTATACTCCACATCCATCTTTCTCCTAACTCCCCCCGCAACCTCGACTTGATTTTGCTGCTCGTTTTATGTTGATTTCCATATTCGGTTTCAAAACGTCTAGTTTAGTTCGTAATCGTCTACCAATTAATGCAACCGACGGGCTTATTCCTGTAGTGCAGTGTTCCGTATTCCTATAATATAATAAAAATGTATTTAAAGCCCTTTCTACATTTTTCTTATCTATGTATGCATTTTCCGCAGCACCGTTCGATGACGGGAGCAGTGAATATGTGTTGAATGTCGTCTTTCGTAAAAACTGTTCAAATTCGCCACTAGTAAATGGCATTATCTGTTACTATCTGCTTTGGAATGCCTGTGCCGTCATTGTAGGTATACCTGTATACGGACCTAATATTGAGACCAACGGTTTGTAATCCGTGTGTAAAATAAATCGTCTTCCATAAATATAGTGATGAAATTTACGCATACAAAATATGAGAGCGAGCGCTTCTCGATGAATCTGCGAATAATTAATCTCTGCGCTAAAACTCCCCCTACGCCCCGCGCGCTCGCGTCGCACGTTTCAATTAACGGTTTAATTGGGTCGTAATGGGTTAACACTTGAGTTCTCCTCAAAGCCCGCTTTATGTTCTCAAACGCTTTCTGAGACTGTTCATCCCAGTTCCATTCTACCCCTTTGCGTAATAAATTATTTAATGGTACTAACATGTAACTAAAATTATTTATAAATTTTGAAGTTGACCATGCCTATAAATGAACGTAATTCGCTAATATTACTCGGAGTTTGCAGTTTATTTATTGCTTTAATTTTTGATTTATCTGCCTTCACCCCATTTCTTGAAATGACGTAGCCTAAATATGTCACTTCGTCCACCAAGAAAACACATTTTTGTTTTTTCAACTTTAACCCATTTTCCCACAGGCGTTGTAAAACAGCTTGAAGAGCTTGCAAGTGGCTTTGCCGATTTTTCATCAATAATTACGTCATCTAGGAATACTTGTACATTAGATATGTTACCTAGTAAATTTGCCATTATACGCTGAAAAATCCCTACACTTGAAGATAGCCCATACACTAATCTATTGTAACGAAATAGATCTCGGTGTGTGTTAATAACTGTGTATTTTTTTGTATCATCTAATTCCACCTGGTTGTATGACTGAGAAAGATCTATTTTACTGAAATACTGCGAGCCGTTCAGACTTACTAGCACGTCTTTGATTCTAGGAAGTGGGTAACGATCGATCAGCAAGACAGGATTGAGAGTCGCTTTATAATCCGCACAAATTCGCAACGTACCATCTGCCTTTGTTATTGGCACCAGAGGTGACGCCCAGTCAGAGCACTCGACGGGCTCAATAACACCGTCGCGTAGCATGGCATCGAATTTGGCGTCGATGCTGCGCTGGCACCGGCCGCGCTCGGTGAAACACCGGCGTGGCCCCCGGTCGCACTCGCAATGTAGCCTTACTACCTTTGTTCTGACCCAATCCGCCGCCGAATAGCTCCTAATATCTACCGAGATTTTTTCAATACTTTCATTATTTTGTAAACAATTAATACCTATTACAAAATTTTTTACATGATAATATAGGTATTTTAATTTGTAACTCGGCTAACCATTGTCTACCGATCAATGACCTAGTACCATTTTGTATTATAAAGAGTTCAAGATTCTTTTTTTGTTCCAGGAATTTAACCTGTGGCCTTATAATACCTAAAGGTTTAATTTTACTGCCATCATAAAATTTTATAATGGTGTTGTCACTTTCTATAAACAAATTAGGAAAATATCTTTTATATGTATCATAGCTTATACATGAAATCGCTGTTCCTGTATCTACCTGATGACCTGATATTGATACGCAATTCGTGTTGACCCCGCGCCCACCATTGTGCAATGTCGATCCACCGCCTCCTCTATTTAACCGGCGACCGCGCTGCCGCCTGCCGTCGATACCGCTACCGGCGTTAAAACCCGCAGTCGTCAATGCATTAACCGATTCTGTCGTAGAACCGGACGCCAAAGTATTTTCTACTATCGCCGCGTCCCTCTCCGCTGCTTCTAAAGAGCTAGCTAGCTTAATGGGTTTCGTAAATGTTATTGCGTCATCTTCCGCGAACAGCCGCTGTCTGATGACGTCACTTTTCAGTCCACATATAAATTGATCGCGCAAGTTTTCGTTTAAATTAGCTGCAAATTTGCAATTACGAGCCAATTTTTTTAACTCTGCTACATACGCCGCTACGTCTTCTTCTGCCGCTTGCCTTTTTTGTCGGAATCGGTACCTTTCCGCTAACGAAGATGGCGTCGGTTATAAATGCTGACACATTGTGCTGTCCGCTTCACCGAAAGTTAATTCTGATGGTTACTTCGGGCTAGCTAGGTTAACGAGTAACTCATAGACTTCATCCCCATTGTGGCAATTAAGGTCGGCAACTTCATGTCGTCTGCTACCGTATTCACTTTAAAATATATTTCCAATCTGTCCATGTAGGAAGACCACTGTCCCGTCTTCGTATCAAATTCACATAATGTTCCTTTTGGCATTATCGTTGTTTATGTACACAAGCGATATACATTATTATTTTTTATAATGTGTTTTGTAATATATTTTTTTTATTTATTTTATTTTCCTTCGTCGCCAGTGTGATATTCTAGCTCGGGTGGCAATGAGACACAGGCGTACGGTTTGATCGTTTAGTCCGGACTGCCCGCGCGGCGTCCTGCATACTTTAACTCTAAGAACAATTATACTTTTCATATTTCTATGTACCTACACTACAACATTCATATCTTAATTTACTTGTCATGTTTGACAACCTATCATTCATTGAGGGTTACCATCCAAATCAACAATATACTTACTCTTGTACAACCATTTCTTCAGGATTTTGTTCATACAGTATCTTTCAGGTAAGGCCATGCTCAATGTTTTTAAATCTTTCTATTTCATGATAATTATCTTGGGTTTCCGGTCTGTGTGATGTCGTTTTTTTCAATGTCTCTGTATGATTTTTTGTTGTATGTTTTCAGCTTCAACTACAACTCGCTCAAAAGAAACATCTTTTGTTGACTCATCATCAGTAAGTATTTTATTTGACTCAACTTTAACGTTTTTAGATCCAAGAGGTCTACCTCTTTTGTTGAATGCAGGTATTGTGTCTATGTCTTTGTGCTTTGATGATTTTTTTTAGCTTCTTCTTCATAATTTTTTTTAACTTCTGCAGCCGAAATACTTTTCCCAGCTGTCGCAAAACTCAAGTCTGCTGATCTCACCTCTCAGAATGCTTCGCCAACGGACACTCTTACTTCGACTTCAGAGGTGTACTTTGGCAATTTATTTAGAACTGTTTCTGATGAGAATTGAAACAAGCCATTGCTCCTGAACCCTGCCTTAATATTATCAACACTAATATCTTTTCCCATAGCTAATACTTTTCCCAAAAGCTAGGCAAATAAAGATTTAGGTAACGCCATCACCTTCTTCCCTCTACATATTCGACGGTATTCATCCAGCACCTTTCTCCGATTGCTTTTTACACTCGCAAAATACCCAACGTCTAAGGGTTGGACCTAGTGTGTTTAGTTTGGTATAAAGCAAATAAACACAATATTGCGTTGTTCACAAAAGCGCTTTCGGCGAAATATGGGCACTGCGGTTAATGCAACATAATTTTTTTCCTCTAAAGCCTGGACACGTGTGGGATAAATTGAGTTTCAAGCCTTTCTTCGAAAATTTTACTGGTTATCCAGCCCGAATCTGAAACTGCTAGTCTAGAATCCTCTAGTGCTTCAAAGAGCCAGTCAGACCATAGTTTTTCCCCTCTAAAACAAAAAATGAAGGCAACGATTCTCCAGCCACATTGACACAAAAAACAACAGTAAAGCAAGACTTTGTCGATTTTTTGATAATTTCTGGGTGACCACAATCTCTTCGAAACAAAAGTTTTTTTTTCCCCGAGGTCATCATGGAAAAATCATAGAAAATATTTTCAGGGAGTATTCCTTCTACCTCTTGACAGACTGGCAAAGAAGACTTCTATTCGATGGCGCTTCACCTGAGCCCTCTTTCGCGGAATGTTA